TGTGTAACATTTTGTAAACTAGCTGCACTTTTCCGTAGTTTTGTTCATCAACTGTGAAACAGAATTGTAATGTTCTCCTAAGCCATATGCATGCCTCATATACACAAGCATTAATGGTTTCTTTTGATATTCTTCACCAACTACAATAGGAGGAGAATCGGCCTGAATTACTTCTATCAGTGTTTGCAAAATATGAGACAGTGCTCTAAGCTCAAGCTGACCTCCCCAGGCAGCTGTGTTTACAACATCATCACAGTACTTTCCAAACTCTTCTAGAGTATACGTATCTCCTGTGTTGGCATTTGTTAAAAATGGCAAAAAGTCTTCCACATGGCTTTGCATATATTCAGCAGTCTGGCTTCTTAAGGCAGCCACAGTCAGGGGGCAATCCTGTTCCTTCAGTTGATCTTCAATGGCTCTATACATGCAATGGCCGTCAGACAGAATTTGTTTAATTTCCAACTGCCTGGCTGCCGATATTTGAGCAAGTTTTTGACCTTCTAGGTGTCTGGCTCCAGATAAATTCTCAATTTCGGCTTCAGCTCTGCTTTCTTCTCGCTCCTTTTCCAATGCAGCTTTTTTCTCTTCGAGTATTCAGTGACGTGACATTCATACACATCTCTTCTGTGCTTTTGAAATCTGAGCGTGCTGATTCTCAAGAACCAAGTCTGAAATGTTAACAGCAACATAATCTATCTTATTCTCCTTAGAAGTCTGCTTCAATTGATCCAGTTCTTCTCTATGCTTCTGCTCCATCTCTGCTTCCAACTTTGCAACATCTTCTATGAGTTGCTTCCTCCTCTTCTTGTCATTCTTAGGAACTGCATTTTTCATCCCCTGAATCTTAGCTTTGGGGTCAAGTGAGGCTGGAAAGAACTTGAGGCCAGGGAGAGGGAGCAAGGTCTAGGGCGAGGAGAGTCAATTCAGGTCAGGGCGCGTGTAAGCAGTGGGCCTGAAGAAGGGGCGCCCCGAAGGCCTGGACACTTGCAACTCCTTTTTCTCTTTATGATGCCTTCTCACTAGCTGCTCCTCTTCATCAAGCTCCTCTGTCAGGACTGCCTCCATGACGACCAGAAACCCCAGCACACGCGGTGGGAGAAGCCAAAAATGTTAGTTTTAATTGTTGTTGTTGTTGTTGTTGTTATGTGCCGTCAAGTTGTTTGCGACTCATAGCGACCCTATGTACAACAGCCCTAAACCCTGCTCTATCCTGTGCAAATCACATGGCCTCTGACACACCCATCCCGATTACCCCAGTCACTGAATCAATCCACCTCATATAGGGTCCTCCTCTCCTGCACTGTCCCTCTACCCTACCAAGCATGATGTCCGTCTCCAAGGACTTGTCTCTCCTTACAACATATCCAAAGTATGTCAGACGAAGCCCCAGAATCCTTGCCTCCAAGGAGCAGCCTAAGTAGACTGAGGTGCGCCTGATACAGGCCATGGTCTTTGCAATCACTTGTTATGCATCAGAGAGTTGGACAATGACTAGGGAAGATAGAAGGAGAATTGATGCCTTTGAGCTGTGGTGCTGGAGAAGAGTATTGAATGTACCCTGGACTGCCAAGAAAACAACCAGATTCATCCTGGAGAGGGCTAAACCAGTTTTAATTGTATTTGCTTGTTTAAATAAAGGTTTGTAAATGGAATTTTAAAAAATGGCCATGCTATACTATTTATAATTCTGTGCTCCAGTTGTCTCTTTATTCTGTGTTTTTTGTTTCGTTTCTTCTTTCAGTAGATATTTGAGCTACTTCTTTATATTTTTTTCTTTTAAGCTCAGAGTTCCAGAATTATCTGTAACTGTTATTTTTTTTAGTGTCTTAGTTGAAGGTTGTCTGGGTTGCCATCTGCCTAGGCCATCATCTTCTCACTTCATTTTTGATAGTTTTGTGTATATAAGGTTCTTGCTTGACATTTTCTTTGCCTCTAACTATGTTGTCTCACTCCTGGTGTTCATTTTTTTCTAATGAGCAATCAACCAGCTGTTAATTTTCTTGCATTTTCCCTGTACATGATAAATTCATTTTCTTGTGTTACTTTTAAGGTATCCCTTTTCCCTTTCAACATTATTACTACGAGGTTTCTGTGCGTGAATCTCTGTGTTTATACTACATGAGATTTGTAAAATTTCCTGGATGTGTAGGTGTTTTTAATCAATTTTGAGAAGTTTGCAGACACTACAATTTAAATATTTTTATCTATTCCTTATTCTCCTGGAAGTTCCATTCAATGTGTGTTTATCCTCTAAATGGTGGGCATTTCTTAGTGGTTCTCTTCATATTTTCATCATCTTTTTCTTTATTCTTTAGGATGTACAGTTGTTATTGATCTATCTTTAAGTACACTAATTCTTTTCACAGCTCAAATCTGTCATTGAACCTAATATAAGAAATGTTTCATTTTGGTTATTACAATATGCAATTTCAGAAATTTCATGTTTCTTTTTTATTATTTCTACAATTTCATCATTATTTTTTGTGTGATGAGACAATGTCATTTCTTCCTTTACTTTCTTCTCTATGTTTCATATTTTTATTTGTTTTCACACCTTTTTTCTATGAATAATGGGTTATTTTGATAGTATGTTATAGAACTCTTGAATACTTATTTTTTTTCTGGTGACTCTCCTTCCTTTTGTTTAGAGAGCAGTGTCAAGAGTCATAGAGGCCTATTCTGAGTTTTCCTTGATGGGGATAAAATTTCTCCTGTATGAGTAGGGTCCAGTTGAAGAAAGACTAGACTTGTCTGCTGCTTTTGCTGGGACTAGAGTTTCTGCAACGGAGCTGAGGTGGAAAAGAAATGTTAACAGCCTATCTCTCCTGGGGAGATAGCATAGTCCTATACTGAGAACAAGAGGAGGGAATGGGTTATGGCTCATGTGCCACAATGTCTTGCTTATCTTACTAAGATTTAGTACGTGTCCTTCAATAAATGGTATTCCATTTAGTATTTTCCTTTAAAATAACTTCTGGTAGCTTCAAATGATTTGTTATTAATAATTTTCACCATTTATGGTTGTTTTGCTGCAGATAGTGTCCACAGAGATCCTCATGCTGCTATCCTGGATTGGTAGTCACCATTTATCTAAGCCTTCTCTTACTGAAAGTTGATTTTTAAGAATTCAGAAATATTCAGCTCATTCCTAACTCCTCCTTGAATTATCCATCGTACTCCACCAGTTACATACATCCTTCCCATTCTCAAGAACTTACTAAATTCTGTATCATTTCTCTTACTAATCTCTTACCTCATCCCTCATGTTAGTTTTCTCTCTCATCCAAGCTATCCTACAGTTACTGCAGTGAATCTTTCATCTGTTACCTACCTTGAAAGGTTCTACTGACTACAGACTAAACTCCAAACTCCTTATAGTCTTCTTTACACTTAAATTTAATATAAAACAATGTACAGGCTTTAAACAGCTAGCTCAAACTTTCAAGCTTTACCAGCTTTCTAGATGTATCTTAAATTCTAATTATAGAAGTCACCTAACTTTATCCTGATGTCCAGTAACTTTCAGACTTATGCCTCTACTCATGTTCTTCCCTTCCCTTCTTTGACTTGTGAATTTCTACTCATTCTTCTATGCTCTACTCATATAATGCTTATATTATTCCATTATAGTTCTTGTAACTTTCAACATTAACTTATTAAGTCTAAAATAAAACATTAAGTCAGAAACTAATAATAATTTATTGAATTAATCAATATACATTTTATAAGCCTTTTCAAATATTTCTATTTCCATTCTGGGATTAAAACAAAAAGTACAGGAATAATTAGACATTGTTTGCTTTGTAGAAAGATGTCAGAGTAGTATTAAAATAATACGAAAAATACAATTACACTTATCATACTATTTAAATGAAATATTTAAAAATATGCTTATTAAGGGAGGAAATATCATTCTTAAAAGAGGAGAGTATATGAGAAACCAGTTCCTAATTTTGATAAAAGGTTACTCAGCTTCTGGTCTGTGCATTCTAGAAGGAAAGGAATGTTTTATCACTGGACATTTGTTTCTGCAAAAAAAGGAGAAGAGTATTCTGGAGGGAATTCTCACCTTGACTATTTTTAGTACCAAAAATCTGTATAACTAAATTGTAAGATAAAGAAACTGAAGTATCATATTATAGTATTGTAAAAAGACTATTTGCATAATCAAGAACATCTGGAAAAGGTTGTTTTTAACTTGCGAACTGGGTATAATCATATTTATTTTCTCTACAATATAGGGAAAGGGAGCTCTGGTAGCCTAATGGTAAGAAACTGTGCTGCAATCCCCAAGGCACGCAGTTTGAATCCACAAGCTGCTCTGTGGGAAAATGGATCATGTCCTCCCAAATGATTTAACTGCCTCTGAAAACCCACTGGAGGGTCAGTTATGGGTCGGTCCTGACTCGACGGTACATAATAACAATAATAATATAGTGAAAATGAAAGATAATTAGGTTGATTACTACATTTCCTTTTTCAGAAAAAGCATTGAAAGTTAATAGCAATAATGTCTGTATTGTTCAAGAGTAGAAGTAAAGATTTTATTCTGATTTCAAGTTAATATGTTTAATATGATTTAAATCTATAGACAGATGTCTCATTTAGATTCATAAAAAGCATTATGAAAATGATTACATTTGTATTTGTGTTAACTGTGGGCTTGTTAGTGCACTATATAAGATCAAGTAGTAAATTCCAGCTTTTCTTTTTCTATCTCATAGTATGTATGGATTAATAAAAGACAAAATACCTATCTAAAGAAACTCTACTCTATACTTCCAGGGTTTTTTTCAGTTTAAGAAGATACTAATCAATACTCTAGACATTTCAATTCAAAATAGTATTTACTAGACTTCAAAGAGTTAATTCTCATTTCTTTCCAAGGTTCATTTCTGATCTATGCAAATGTGTCTTCTGTTCAATACCATTTGGAAAACCACATATACCTAAGCATTTGCTCCATACTTTGCTCCCAGTACTTTTCTCCTTGTACTTACCGGAAGCAGTCATTTGTGCTAAAAAGAGTAGGTATACAGAGGTAGCATCCAATTGCAGATGTCCCCATTGGTCATCATCAACTACAGTGGCACAAGTCTTGATGTTATACTTAGCATGGAGGCTATCCTTGGTGCTCTGGCTATATTTAAAGGAATCTACTTTCTCCACCTAACCAAAAAAAAAAAAAGAAAGAAAGAAAGAAAAGAAACTAAACAAACAAAGAGTAAAAGAATGGTATGCAGAAAACTCAACTCAGACATAGCATTTCTTTAGTACTATAGCAAATAACATTGTATACTTTTCCGTAATTGTGAATATTTAAGATGCACTATTGCTCTTTTTCTCACATTAATATTGTTGGGAAACTCAGGCTGATTTTGGTTGTCATTGTTGTTTGTTCATTTAAGCAATTTGATTAGACAATAGTACCAGTCAAGCAAAACTGAAGTAACTTGGGCAGAGAGAATTTTTAACGTAGCAAGCTGTTAACAGAAAAGTTGTTGTTGTGTGCCATTAAGTCAGAATTAACTCATAGATGACTCTCTAGTGGGTTTTCAGAAGGTCTAAATCTTCAGGAAAAGAATGGGCAATTCCCTCCTGTGTGTTTTACACAGGCCAAAGCCTAGAAACTGGAGGACTCAGAAAATGCATAGTAAGCCCTTTAAAGAGCATGGTGAGTGAGACTGGATTATTGTCTTGAAAATGGAGAGTTACATACATTCAAAGTTCTGCAGTAGGCATCCTTGAGTAAGGCATTGCAATTCTTGATCAAGGCAACTTTATTTTTTACCAAGATAGCACTGTTTTCCCCCCAAATTGTTCTATGTTTATGTAAACATGCCCTTATCATGAAACAGTTGGGCTACTCTACTCCCAAGATGATTGAAACTTCTATGCCCAAGAAATTCTTCACCACAATCACCTTCATTTAATGCATATGCAACTTTTAAACTACTAAAAAGGCTTCCATTCTTTCTTGCACTTAAAAAAACCAAAATAAACAAAATCTAACCCACTGAAGTAAATTCTTCACTTCCAGCACTTCACAAGAGACTGCTTCATCTTTCTCCCAAAGAGTAGATGGTAGGTACAAACCACTAACTTTTTGGTTTGCAGTTCAGCTCATAATACACTAAGTCAACAGGGCTCCTTTCTTACACTAAAAGCTAAAAAAGAATAATATGCACCTATTCCAAAGAAACTACAAACCTTTAAAGATACAATTAGGAATGGATCTCATTTAAAACCCAGGGACTGTCTATACTCAGCAGCATAGCCAATTTGCCTTTTCTGGCACAAAAAGAGTCATCCAGTGACCACGTAACATGTTGATAGTAACTGATCTCAGTATAGGGAAGTAGGAGACAAGATTCAATTAACGTTAAGATTTATTTTTCTATCCTTCTTCCTACTTTTTAAAAAACTTTATTGAACTAGCCTACATTGATCCATTTTTAAATTTTTTTATTTTCTACTAGTTTATTTACAAAATTTGAATACAAATTCAAACAAATTATTTCAATTTCCCTTACCCCCCCCATCAAATTGTACAACCCCCATGATTAATCCGCCCCTTACCCTGCACATACACATCCCTCTCCCACCCCTCTTGGATCCTTATACTCATTCTACTATAATGGTTTTATACAATATCTATCCTTGTGGAACTGAGTTAGTTCACTCACCATAATGCTCTTCAGTCTCTCCAAAGTTAGGTAATGAACCATTTTTTAAAGACTGAAAATGGTCTTCCTGGAGTGGAATCTACTTCCTAAACAACCTGCCTCTGGAAACTCTATGAACTTTGATAAATGACAATATTTATAGAAAGGCTTCAGGACTTTTGTTCATAGGGTCACTATGACTCTTGTGCTTGACTTAATGGCAAATAACAACAACAACATATGTATATATAATAACTGCTTAAATAAAACCTATGTTTTAATTTTTTATAGCCATTATAACTATTATATCTTTCAATACTGTGACTTTCAAACATGTTTGATAAGTTTAATGTGATCAAAATACACACACATGCACACACAAAAGAAAAAAAAGGAATGGAGAAAATTATAAATATGAAATAGCTAACAGAAAGAGAGCTAAGAAATAAGTTCAGAAGCCTGGAATTTATTTCCTTGTACTCCTACTCCCTCCCCCTTTTGGGTTTTGGGGTTGTTTTTGTTTTTGTTTTTTGCTTTTGTCATTGAATGTACTTTGTCATCTGGGGTCTCAATTTCCCCTAATAAAATTTAATCGTTTTTTTTTTTTAAATTTAATCTTGAAGTCAAGAAAATGAAGCTTAGATTGTGTTCAACATACTTTAAGGTCTTCTAGGACAAAAATAAAATTCTTTAGAAGAAAGAAAACTATCATAAACTCAAAATGGCTGCTAAAATATTTACAATTCATATAAAAAAGATTAATATCCACAATGTATAAAAACTCCTCAGATGGATAAGAAAATACAAAAGTCAAACCGACCACTGTCATTTTGTTTCTGATTCATGGATACCCTCAATTGGATTTCAAAGGATGTAAGTCTTTAAGGGAGAAGGCTGCCCATTTTTTTTTCTCATGTGGTATTTAAAATCACTGACTGTTGTTGTTAACAGGACAACACATGAGGCACTATGCTACTGGTAAAGATGTAGCAAGACACAGAAGAAACGCAAATTTCCAATTTACACTTGAAAGAATGTTCAACTTCATTCAAGGTCAGAAAAACACAAATTGCTGCAAAGAAATACAAAACCAGGATCCTAAAGTCTGAAACACTTTAAAAAGGGTCACCCTCAACTTTATGCCAAAATAAATTAGTAAGCAAATTATGATTCAACTTATGGACTACTGTTCTGAGCTCTGCAGGGGCCCAAGATATGGCCTATACTCTAGGATGCCCTTTAAAATCTTAAAAATTCTGAACTCTAAATTTTATTTGTCCCAAAGTATTTTAGATAAGAGTTTATTAAACTCTTATCATTTTCCACAAAATACACATACCTACATATACAATAATGACAAAACATGTCAAAGGATCATATAGGGGCAAAACCTTTTCCAGTGAATGATATTTCCCCCCTTAATTTTCCGTATTTTCTAAGATTGTTGTTGTTGTTGTATATCATCACAAGTAAGAAGTGATCTATAGCTGATCCAGCAGCAAGTTTTCAAAAGCAGTAACTCTCATGGGAGGAAATCGTCCATCTTTCTCCTATGGAGCAGTTGATGGATTCAAATACAACGTCTTACCACTAAGACAGCAGAGTTCCCTTTTCTAAGATTGTTGTTGCATACCATCAAGTTGGAACTGACTTATAGCTGATCCTCCAGCAAGTTTTCAGAGGCAGCTAATCATGTGGGAGGAGATTGCCCACCTTTCTGCCACAGAGCAGAGGTTGGATATGAACCCTATATCTTTCTTTGCATTGGCAGTGCAACTCTTTACTACGAAGCCACCAGAGCTCCACTTACTAAGATTAGTGTGTACTATTTGTGAAATAGTACAAAAAAATAAAGCTGTAGACATTCTTTAAAGGGTAGAAATCCTATTACAATTCATTTTTATTAGAGGAAATGGTCAATATTCATACCTGTCTGATCATGCAGTGCAGCAATCCCCTCATCAACTTCACTACACTCTGCGGAAATAAATGGAAACCCAATAATTATAAACATTTCCAGACATGAGAATGCTTTAACTCAGCAGTTGTAGTTGGTACGTGACCTTTTGAGAACAAGTAATCCTATCCTGGGTTCTTACTGACATGGCATTTACTTTATAGGTACACATAAGAACAGATTGGAGCTAAAAGTGAAATCTAAACCAACAAAATAAACATTTGACTCTTCAAGCTAAAAAAGAAAACAAAACAAAAAGTCAAACGTAAGTTTCAAAAGTTTTATGTAAAACTTTTCTTCTGGTAAAAGGGGCAAATTAAAAAAAAATCATAAGGCTCTAAAGTGTGGCCAAATAAATCACAGTCTATGGCCTAAAAAGGCTTTATTAAGACATCACCACTTTTTTCTAAGTTGGCTAAGATTTACCTTTAAAAGTTCACATAAATATTTACCTGGATATTTTCCCTGAAGAGTAAATAAACTTCAAATCATAATAAATGTAAAAGAGAACTGTTAATGTGACCCAATTCCTTCTGTTATGTCATTACTATTTCTCTCACAAAAGTAAAAGTAAGGTTCACTGACATCAAGTTGATTCTAACTCATAGGGACGCAACAGGACGCAGTGCAACTAAATAATAGGGTTTCCATGCCTTTAAATCTACAGAAGCAGACTGCCTCATCATTCTCCCAAGGAGCAGCCAGTAGATTCAAACTATCTACCCTTCCTTTAGCAGCTGGGGGTTTGTTTTGTTTGTTTGTTTGTTGTTTGATTTTAAGCAAAATTCACATTTTATTCAGATTGAAATAAACTGTACAAAATTTATTTTCTTAACCAAAAATAACAGTAATAATTTCTGTATTCTTTCTAGATAAACCACAAAACACTTATTGTTGTAGATTTCCCAGGTTTTGCTTATAAATCAAGATGAGGCAGTAGATATAATCATGAAAAAAAAAGACCGAAGTTATCAGCTGTTAGTGTCCATGGCCTTACAGTCTACTTAGACCATGAAAGAGAAATGTTCACTATCTACCTGCCAAAAGGTGTAGGCTCAACAAAGGAATGTAAACAGCAGCAACCCGACCTATAACAACTATTGTAAGTTCTTCCATTCACACTTTAACTGTAATTTGTTCTTTTAGATTCATATGATAAAGACAATCTACATTGAAATCCATATTTGGCAAGCTCATAGTTTGCATCACCCTGGTAATTTTCTTAATTGTCCATTACAGCTTTTTAAAAAGCCCACTAATCAACGATCAGTTGTGAGATTCATCAGTCGTGAGATTCATTGTAACATTTTATAAAATATATTCCTTACTCCCACACCTCCACAAAATGTATTTCTTAAAAGAACTGTAACTCAATACTTGATAACTAAATCCACAGTAACAAGAAATGTATGTCTAAAATGACTCAATGTAAAAAATTTCAGAGTACCACCAAAGATAAGACAAAGAAACAAAGTGGGGCACTTTCACCGCTATCTTCCGGAAGAACAGATATTTTTTTTCAAAGCATGACAATTCAAAGAGGAGTTATTTAAATAGGTAGATTATCAATGGCTAATATATCCAGTATACATTAGGTATACAGGTAAAGTTATTCCGTGATTAAGTGGCCAACATAAACCTGCCAGCTTTTGTACCAAATATCAAATAGAAATTTAAAAAAAACCCATTTAAAAACAGTCTCTTGGATATTTTCAGCAGTTTCTGAGCTACCTATAGGAAGCTCTGACTTAGTTGTATAGAGTTTAATATGTGTCCACCATTAAATCTAAATCATGTTTTATATAAAAATTAATGTTAAACAAAGCCAAGTTACTTGACCTTTGGTCTGTCAAAGTGTTCCTTAAGTATGCTTTGAGACGCTTCTGTCCATTTTCATAGCACTTATTTTCAACTTTCATCACTAGAAGAATACACAGGACCTTCAGCAATGCATAAATGTTTGGGAAGAACTTGATGTCAGGCAAATGAAGGGCTTCATAAATCTTTCCCTCTGTGTTTCCACTTGATTCCCCAACAACGAAGCTTGGCAGACAGCGTGTCAGGATTGGGTAAGTCACTCCTGTACATGTCAGCATGGTGTTCCTCTGACATATTGAGCTTGAGCTGCCCCATGACAGAAGGGACCAGAGATAAGCATTTAAGAGATTTGAGGTGCTGTTCTGAGAATATATCTTGAAGTTCCTGAATAATGTGCTCTACAGTTGGGACACTCAGGATTTCTCTCTGAGGTTAGCTGAGAATCCAGGTTGCCCTGCTGAGCTCGGCGGAATTTCCCAGGGAGTTTCATCTGAATATCAAGTTTGGATGCCAAATTTGTGGCTTCCTCAAACCAAAATTCATGATAAACTTCAATATTTTCCATCACTTCATTTAGTGAATGCAGCACTGCGGTCAAGCTGCTGGCAGCAAAGAAGACATCAGAGGTCTGACCCTGCAGGTTTTTCCCAAAACCTCTTGTAAAAGGCAAGACTTTTTAAAGAACAACAATTGTAACAATGAAATCACAGTCTGTTATTGCACTACAGAGTACAAAGGCTCGGCCAGCTATGCAATTATTCCATCTAACACTTGTGTCATTATTTATACCATCTAAACATAGAACAAGTGTTTGCAAGAGGTCTACTAAGATTTCAAAAGCATCATGCTGGCCTGTCCACTGAGAATGGCAAATTTCCTTCAGTTCCCCTTTCTTCACTGCTCTGAAAAAGACCAGAAATTACATTGTCAAGATATAAAAGCCGTTGTGGTGATCAATGGATGAAAGAGCAAACTTCCTCTATTGTTCCCAGTGCAACAGATACTCCCATAACAGGTAAAGATTTTGCCAACCACATATTTAAGGCACAGGAAGGACAGAGTGTGTAGATGGCTTGAGGATATTTCTCTAAAAGTCTAGAAGGGACAACCTTCATCTTGGAAGAAAATCCACTGGACACGGTGTAATCCTTTTTCTTTTTTTTTTCTTATTTTCTAATCACTTGCTATGCATCTGAGAACTGGACAATGAGTAAAGATGACAGAAGAAGAACTGAGACCTTGGAGTTGTGATGATGGAGAAGAACAAATAGATATGTATTCAAAAAGAGCAGCCAGTATGTTTTTTTGGATGCAAGGATGGAGAAGCTCTGTCCCTCATACTTTGGACATATTGCTAGGAGAAGCTATTCTTTGGAAAGGATCATCATGCTAGGAAAGGTGGAGTGTCAGCAAAGGAAAGGAAGACTCTCAATGAGATGGATTGATATGGTGATTGCAGGAATGGGCTCAAGTGTGATGAAGATGGCACAGGATAAGATAGGGTTTAGATCTATTGTTCATAGAGTCACTGTGAATCATACTCAATGGACTGCACCTAAAAACAATATTTTGAGTTACAATTGTCAATTTGATCCCACTTAGATGGACTCTAAAAAAAGTAAAATGTTTAAGGCAGATAATTTTTCTAGTTAAACTAAACTTATTTAGTTTTAAAACTTCATGTAATATTTTTGGTTTAGGATTTTAAAGATTATCTCAAGACAATAACTTCAAGTGTTTATCCAACTTTGGTGTCTCCAGAAAGTGTGGATGGAGTCAACAAATATTTAAAATTCTGTTCCTCATTTTCCCTTTTTATTGGAATTTCTTTTTTTATTTTTACATTTTTTATTGGTTTGCTTACCATCATTCCTATATATTGTGCTTCGTTCATGTACATAGTGTTTTATACATTCATATTGTTGTTGTTGTTGTTGTTATGTGCCGTCGAGTCACTTGCGACTCATAGCGACCCTATGTACAACAGTCCTAAACTCGGTCCTGTGCCAATTGTACCGTCTCTGATACACCCATCCCGATTATCCCAGTCACTGAATCAATCCACCTCATAGAGGGCCTTCCTCTCTTGCGCTGTCCCTCCACCCTACCAAGCATTATGTCCTTCTCCAAGGACCGGTCCTTCCTTACAACATGTCCAAAGTAAGTTAGATGGAGACTCAGAATCCTTGCCTCCAAGGAGCCGCCCGGTTTAATTAACCCTTTCCAGAATGAATCTGTTTGTTTTCCTAGCAGTCCATGGTACCCTCAATACTCTCTTCCAGCACCAAAGCTCAAAGGCATCAATTCTTCTTCTATCCCCCTTAGTCGTTGTCCAACTCTCTGATGCATACCAAGTGATTGCAAAGACCATGGCCTGTATCAGAACGCACCTTAGTCTCCAGAGAGACACCATTGTTCTTCAGTACTTTCGAGAGGCTCCTAACAGCAGACTTACCCATGGCAATATGTCTTTTCATTTCCTGGCTAATGGTGCCAAGACTGTTGACTGTGGAGCCAAGCAAACTAAAGCTGTGAACAATCTCAATCTCTTCGCCATCCATCCTGATGCTACCGATTGGTCCAGTGGTGAGAATCTTTGTCTTCTTGACATTGAGCCTCAGTCCATACTGAAGGCTGCAGTCCTTGACCCTCTGCAGCAAGTGCACGAGGTCCTCCTCAGTTTCAGCAAGCAGGGTTGTGTCATCTGCATAATGCAGATTGTTCATAGATCTTCCACCAATCTTGACCCCACATTTCCCCTCATAGAGACCAGTCTCTTGGATAATCTGTTCTGCATACAGGTTGAAAAGGTATGGCGACAGGACACATCCCTGGCATACGCCCTTCCTAATTTTGAACAATGCAGTGTTTCCTTGCTCTGTTCTGACAACTGCCTCTTGGTTCAAGTATAGGTTTCTCATTAGCACGATCAAGTGTTCTGGTATTCCCATTCTTCTCAGAGTCAGCCACAGTTTGTTATGATCCATACAGTCAAACGCCTTTACATAGTCAATGAAACACAGACATACATTCCTCTGGTAGTCCCTACTTTCAGCTAAGATCCATCTAACATACATTCATATACATTGTATTTTATATATTCAAATACTTTTTACCTATGCCTTTTATTGCCCCATCTCTTCAAGTCCTCATGGAATCTTTCCTATTCCTTCATACCTCACTCTATCACCCACCAACCTCT